TAGCTATTTCAAAATCCTTGTCGCCAGCAGAATGTAGGTCAACATGGGCATCTTGTAGAGATTTCTTCAGGGTTTCATTTATAACTCAAGTTTTCCCTGATTCGAGGACCAAATCGGCATTGGATGTTTCCAGCTCCAAGCATCTGGATTCAGCAACCTCCTTTTGTTTAGTCATTTCTAATAACTAGGACTCCCAATTTTCCTTTTGATTGTTCATCTCTAACAACCGCTTATTTAATTCCTCCACTTTATCGGTTGGAACTTTTAAGTCGGTGTTCAGCTAATTCATCTCCTTAAAGAGACAAGTCTCATTTTTATCATGAGCCTCGCTCACTTCGAATAAACCTCTAGTCATCACTGCACATCTCATTAAATAGGACCTAAGATTTTGCGTCAATTGTTAAGCGCCAATAGATTTTACCTTCTCAATGTCCTCATTTGCATTCAGATGATCATAGAGATACCTCAGTCCATAAAAGTTGTTGGACCAGAATTTAAATTCAGAGGAGGGTTTAGATTGGTACCTACTATATTGCATAAGGGTGGTAATGGTCAGATCATCTTGACTGACATCATCACTCATCAGAGTCAACATTTTCTTCGGAGAATGAGGCTTTAGGTCTTTCGGAGTAGGGGGATGGTCGGTTTGGGCTCTTATATGGGGAGTATCATTTTAGCAACATCCAGTTTCTTTCTTTTGAGAGCCCGAACCTGAATCCCCAAGAGGTCACTTTTGAAAGTGGATTGGTATCCATGCCTCGCCCTAGCTTTGACGATCAACTTCTTCTGTTTGGAGAGTTTGAGGTTTGTCATCTTAGTTGGAATAAAAGAGACCAAACCAATAAAAAATGACTAATAATATAATAACAATGCGATAAATAAGTGAATGTAAATTACCAAAAAAAGTAAAGGTTTGTTCAGGGTCATCAACCATCTGTAAAAGATCTTTTACTTTTACTACTCGGAAAACATCCAACACGGCCAAGGATCAAAGTTCTAGGTCGTTTAGTTTATCATAACCAAAACTAGAGATAAGTAAAGGGTTGTCTAACCAATAGATCGGGAAACAATAACTCTCGTCCAAGGCATACATGATTTGGGGACATCTTCTTCCACTTTTAACTCAGAGGAATTTGTCTTTAGAACCCTTATACTTAGTAATATATGCCTGTAAGAAGCCCTTGCCCAGTATGTCACTGAGAGAAACCCGACCTCCTTTCTCTGCACCTTTTAACTCAAAAAATGAAAAGAATAAACCTAGGATCGACACTATGTTCACAGTATCATAAACGATCTCAAAAGCCTTGATAAAACCCTAGTCATTAGGATGTAGTTGGGAAGGAGCTATGTTTAAGGTTTTGAGGAGATCACTCCTAAAAGTTGGTAAAGGGAATGCAAATTTTAAAGTCTTCAATGACTCCCGAATATAAATAAAAATGTTCTTCTAACACTCCTTTGAGACGAGTAATACAAATTCTCTCACCTGCTACACAGGGCTCCAATATAACATCTTCTTCATTTCCCGTGGAGGAAATTAAAGTAGTAGAACAAAGCTTCGAGAAGTAGCTTTCGTTGATAATGCTACAGTCATAACTAAAACATTCTTTGTCTATCAAAGATCATGTTGCTTCTATTTGGATATCTGAAGAACCTGAGGAGGAAACTCCAAATTAGTATTACTATTAGGTGAAGGGATTTCACCATAAACTTCCCTAAGAATTCATTCAAAGTACGCATTATTCAAATAACCCCCACACTCTCGCATACAGAAATTCCAAATCATATTCCTATCACTAGAAGTGAGGGTAAATGAACATGAAATATAATAATAATAATCAAAACATAAGAATCGATATAAAAAGGGTAATGATGAAAGTGGAAGTTCCCATAAAAGCCATCATGAAGAAGAGAGAGAAAAAGACCTATCGTCATTAAGGTAGCTGACAAAAATTAAGCATAAACTCGATATCAAAGAAAAGGAATTTCGAGATTGATTGTCCAAACACTTCATTCTAGAGAAATCTAGTGATCAAAGGGCTTATGTACATCTCAAAATTCCTTGAGGACGAGATGATATGATTAACAAGTCAGACGACCATGTTTACAAGCCGGAGTTCGGCTAGGATGCAATTCGGACGGTCGTATTGTGTCTATAGCCCACACAAGTCGGATCTAGTGACAGAGAATCATTTGAAGGGTCACAAGAAACTGTGATGCATTATTACTGGAGAGTTGTAATTATTGAAAAGGCATTCATTATATAACAATTATATGTGACGACGTACGTTACAAGCAGAGGCAGTTATGAGGAATGTAAAGGGTAAAAATAGAGGAAAGTAGAGGGAAATTAGGGACATATAAATAGAATTTGGATTAGAAGAAAAAGCCAAGCAATAACCTACAAAAACATACATAACAGACATCCAACCAATCGTTTAAGGCTTTCCTCGAGTTAGAACGAGGAAGTCAACCTTTTAGTGTTTTCAGCAAGAACACTCGTTTTGCAGGTGATATGCTTTTAAAAAGGATACCAACTTTTGATGATGACAACTAATTGATGATGAAAATTAATGTCTTCTGACAAGTCAAGCATAAGTGATTAAGTGGATAAAGATGCAAACCTAAGCATTATGGTTTGATAAACTTGACTATTCAATGATGGAATCCAAATGAAGTATAAGCTCAAGAATCATATCAAGTAAACTCAAACAAATGTCTACAAAAGAAAGCATTTGATGAAGTCTTGAAGTGCAAGAAAAGCTTACCATGATTAGTCTGAGTGAATATTTTGTAAAGCATAAGGGTGTTCTCGTAAAAGTTTTGTCTTGAAGAAAATATTTTCAAACTCGTTTTTCTCAAGAAAATATTTTTAAAAATGCCTTAAAGTTATGTCAAATGAATTGGAAGCTATCATAATAGCTTTGAGTAAAGTTTTGTCTTTGTCAATCGATTTGCTCAATTCAAAATTGAGTCCTTAACTATTATGAAAACATCTTAATGATGTGCAATAACAATATATCTATTATTTCCTTTTTCGAACTTATGATTGATTATTTTTGAAGTATCTAATCTATTGGCATTAGGTGTTAATCGTTTAACTTGTCTTAAAAAATATTAAAATCAATTTTATTTTTGAGTCAACCTTTAGCCTACAAATACATGTTCATTCCCTAATTTCAAATCATCCCGAATCATATTTTGACACTCCTCACTCTCTCCCTCTCTATCTAAAACTTTTCTTCTTCTTTCTCTCAATAATATTTAAACGATGTGCTTCTTCGAGAAAGTTCTTTTGTGAGCGAGGATAAGTTATAATTTTGGAATGGTAGAATTGTAAAATTCACCTAGAAAATTTTAATTTACACCTTGGTTGAATATTATTATTTAGGGATCGTTTGCGTTAGAAGTTAAACCCGTAAAAGCTTTTGGTTTGAGGATTGTGTGATTAAGCTTTTGTTTAGGTTTGAGATCATCCTGTGGTAAAATCTCATAGGTTCTTAGTTAGCTTGTGGTTAAATTCAAGGTTAGGTTAAAGTTTAGCCTGATATTAAAAACTTAGATAACGTTCGAGATTAGCCCGATATTAAAAGCCTGGATAAGGTTCGAGATTAGTCTGGTATTAAAATCTCCCAAGTTATTGGTTAGCCCATGTAAAACCAAGGTTTAAAGTTCGTGAGTTCAGCCCGTGATAAAAGCTTACGAAGTTTGCTTAGAAGCTTGTAGATTAATAACTCCAAGATTCTCGTGGAAAGAAGACTAACTAATTCAATCTACTGCATGAAAAAGAAACTAACTGCTTTAATATTCCATTTGGAAGAAAATACTCAAACCACTCTATTTCTAACTTATTGTTTGGTTGGAAGCCAACCATTTTTCTTATATAAGGGGGTTCATGAGTATTATCTACTAAATTGTGTGATTCTAATTTCAATTAGAATGTGATTGTTTAGGTGTATCTAAATTCTAGTCTCTAAAACTTTTTGATATCTTTCTAAGGATATTTTTAATATATAAATAAATTTTTAGTTGAAGTATTTTTAATATATAAATAAATTTTTGGTTGAAGTGTTGTGTCTAATTTTTTTTTTAATATAAAGTGCAATTAGATTTTAAAATAGATTTAAAGATAGTTTATAGTCTGTGTAAGTAGGGATGGCAACGGGGCGGGTCGGGGACGGGTTTTACTATACCCGCATCCGCATCCGCCTCCATGTAATACACCCGCCCCCGCCCCCAAACTCAATTAGGGGTAAAATTTTACCGCTCAGACCCGCCCCCAGTAGAGAACGGGTGCACTCGCACCCGCCCCGCCCCCACTGGAAAAAAAAATTCCTTTTTAATTGTAATAAAAATTAATAATTTAATTAAAAAATTAATTATTTTAATAAATTAATTATTTATTTAATTAAAAATTTAATTAGTAAATAAATATTAATTTGATTAATTTAATTATTTTAGTTGCAATAAAGGTATTAATAATTTAATTAAAAATATAATTAATAAATTAATATTAAAATAAGTAAAATAAGAGAATTAAACTAAAATGTATTATTCGGGGACGGGGCCGGGTGCGGGCGGGTCTTAGTGTCTCCCCGCACCCGTAATTAAAAGTCGGGTTTCCCTGCACCCGCACTCGTACCCACTCAAAATGAATTTTCCCCGCTAATTTTAAGGCGGGTCTGGGCCGACTCCAACGGATCCTAATTTTTTTGTCATACTTACGTGTAAGACAATTTTACTTATACAATCAATTAAAATACTTACAATTACGATGAAATATTAATATTTTTAAAATAAAAATATTTTTTATTTTGATAATGCATTTCCTTTCTTTATTTTAAAATTTAGAATTTAAGATTTAGAATTTAGGGTAAAGAAGTATGAGTCACTTTTTGAAGAAGAAAGAAGAAATACTTTTTGAAGAAGAAAAAATAAAACGAGAAGAAAGTGCCAGTGACATTGAGACAGAACTGGAAGAAAAATTAATCAGACGAAAGAAAATGGAGGCGATAGAGTTAGACGAAGCCATGAAAGTATTAGATTCATGTTTATCGCAAATCAAATGGCGCCTCAAATCCACTTCCAAACGTCGATTACAATTAGGTCTCACATTCTCTCTCTCTCTCACACTTCTCTCTTCTTTCAATTTCTTCATTCAATTTCTCACATTCAATTCACTGCATCACAGATATTATTGCCCTAATCACAAGAATGAGACCAGTAATAATGATCGATTATGGTGGAATCATGCCTCAACTTCAATACCAACTCTCCTCACTCCTTCAACTTGCTCAAAAAGAATCTACAATTTTTGAAGATCTAAGGTTGATGGTTATACAAGAGATGATTTACTTGATTCATGTAACTGAAATGAATGATTTTGTTGGTTCAAGTTTGGATTCTCAATTGCTCTTTGTTGACCTTGAACATGAATCCCCAAAGGTATTATAATCTCCTATTTATCATATGAGCTTATGCTATTAGTGCTTAATTATGTTGTTTATCTACTGTCTAATTTTTTTGTTCTCAATTTCATGAGTTTATTCCTAATGGATGTTTGGTTAAACTGGATTTCAGTTGATAACAGAAATTGAAAAAAGCCAATTAGCGATGCAGTTTGTTTCAATTCAGAAGCTGTTTTCGACGTTTTTTTCTTCTAACGCGGAGGCGAAATTGGTGGATGATGCTAACTATTCTGCTCACTGTTCTCAATCTTCTTCTACTGAGTGCATTGATCTTAGTTATTGTATGGAAAACACTGACATCTTAGTGCCAACATTGAACGGGTAGTTCCTTTTTCAGTAATATATATGTTCATTACAATGGGTTTTTTTCCTCTTCTCTCTCTACCGTCTTCTGTCATACAGTAGTATGAAGTATATTAGTTTGTTAGATTAGTTAGATTCGGTTGGGTAGTTAGTTGCTCTAGCTCAATTTCACCATCTTTGTTAATATGATTGCTAATGAGAAATCTCTATTCACGGCCTCCAAGGCTTAAACTTTCTCTCATTTCCCTCAAACTCTGATTCTTAAGATGATATTAGATTTTATCTAAGATACGTTGGGCTATCCGCTATGGAGTCATTCGGCTCACCCTCCTCATGTTCAGTCTTGGGCGCGAAAGAGGTGTATTGAGTTGAGAGCACCATGTTGAATGATATATGGTATGAAATGTATTTATAAATGGAATCATCACTTACCTTAGAAGTTGGTTTTGTAAAGTGTAGTTAAACTCAAGCCCAAAGTTTAAGATGGCCAATGGCTTTTCATGTTGTAATGTATAGAACTTCCGTGCTTCTCATAGAAAAAACTTGTTCAAGACACACTTTTTAAAAAATACTACTGATGCTAATATGTGAATGGAAAGTTTGGTTCAACTAATTTCAGCTCCCATTTTAAAGTGCAGCGCAAGCAAGATATGCCAATCAACCATGGGAACATCATTTGATGATATTTTATACTACCATCTATGATTTGTTATGCATGTGTGGCCAATGCAGCAGTTATCTTTTTGATCAACAACTGAGATTATTTTAATTTCTATGCATTTAAATTAAGTTGTTTCCAACCCCACTTAGTGGGATGAGGCTTGATTGTTGTTGTTGTATTTAAATTAAGTTTGTTCACTTTAGAGGAGCTAGATACATATTATTTTTTGTTTTACTTTACTATATTTCATTTATTGGTTTCACTATAATTACAGATTTATTGGGGTGAAAGAGTTGATTAGCTTTGTACCCATTTGTTGTGGAAGACTCTTATATACTTGAAAGTTCATGTTATACATAGCTCCACTAATAATCCATTTTCTGAGTCTTTATAAAGTGTTCCAAGTAAATCAGAGTTTGTGGAAATTACTAATAAGTAATGTTACTCAGATTACATCTAGTAGTATTTTATAGCTTATACTTTTTTCCTGCGGGGTGGGTAGTTTACCTATGCCAGATTCCCAGCTCTTTGGAGACTCGGTGATTTCAATCTTCTGTTTGACCCATGCCCTACACTCGTACTTGATTCTTTCAAGGAGTGGGATGTGTTGAATAAAAATGACTGCCTATACCACTCTTTTATTTTTACCCTAAAAGTAGTAGTAAGTTAGTTCCATCACCTGTTGTAGACGTTAGTATGTCATGGTCTAACTTATAGACCTGCATGTGCAAAGGAATTGGCATTTTTGTGTAGCACTTATATCTCTTAGGGGGGTCAAATCAACGTACGCTTCCTTAATGGTGATTCCGTAGAACAATGGAGATCAGTGTAGTCAAGATCAAGTGCTAGGTCTTACGACCTTACGTGCTGAAGTTGCCTTTTAGTGCTACGATATGAGAAAAAGCTTTTTTTGTGCACTTTGTGGTCAAGATCGAGTGTTGGGTCTTAAGATCTTACAATCTCACGTGCTTAAGCTGCCTTTTATATGGCTATATGATATGAGAATACATAATATCTTAGATGATTAGACTTGTTTGTTAGATTTATGTTTTTGAGCTACTTATTTTGAACAAAGTTTTCTGAACTTGTTAAATTATGGACGGATGGTTATGAGTTATTAATTAAATTGGTTGAATTTTGTAATTTATAGGTTATTTTGTCCACTTATTATAATTTTCATGTTTTTTGTGTGTGTATATATGCCAAATTACCATTTTGCCCTTCGGTAAGATCTTAAGTGTCATGCTACGATCCTGGTTTTACGATCTTTCATAGGCCGTCCAATCCTATTTAAGAACTCGTGCTTGACTACCTTGGTGGAGATAGTCGCACTTAATAACAAATCACGGGCATATTGTTAAAAGCTTGAGGTAAGAAAAGGTTTCCTTCAAGTGCTCAAAAATAGTATTTCAAAGCTTTTGTATGTTCTCCGTTACTTGTGTGGATAACTTAAGGCCTATGTTATAAAGTATATAACTTCAATCATAGGGATCAATTTCCAGTCGCATAACCTCATAATAATTCAATAGTTCTGTAAAGCTTCTGCATAATTTCCTTCAGATTGAGCCTACATCTGTTACGGTCGTCATTCGGTTCAAAGAATCTCCGTTCCAGAACCTTATGTGAGATTTTCATCTCATACGGCTCCTCCTTTATGTGGATAATGATAAACATCCATGGAATCAAATAAAAAAAGATTGCAATATTCTCATTATCAACTGAGTGAAGCTATTTGTTACTTATTAAAATTGTAATATGTGGTGCCCTATCTCATTTTAGTGCATTTATTTGTTCAGATGGCTTCTAGGATATCCAGTGGTGTATCTTTTTGGGAAGGATCATATTGCTGATGCTGTTTATAATCTTTCTACCAAATATCTTCACATTTTCCAAGTGTTTGTCTGCAGGTTTGTTTTCCCTAGCCTTTTGTCCACAGTTTATTCTATGAAAATACAATTATAGGTCTGAACCAGGTCTATAGTGGCCGTTAGTTAAATATGTTTGTAGTCTCTAATCAGACCTACAAACATATTTCCGTCTAATGCTGAAACTAGATTCAATTCTCAGGCATGTAGTTTGTTCCTAAAAAAAGTATCCTTAATAGAAAAAGTAAGAAAAATAATAAATAAGACCAAGAAAGAGGTTATAAAGAGATAACAAGATTCTGTGATATCCACTTTCAGTGTTTTTGTCAACAATCAAAGAAGTGTGATAATGCTTGATTTGATAACTATTCAACCTAATTCTTGAATTGAGATGATATCATTGACTTGTCAGCTATAGTGGAATCACTAAATCTGGCACGGTCTTTCATTTTTTTTCCTTTCTTGTCAGACACTTAAACACAAATTGACTATATTAAAATTTGAGCTTTTGCAGAAATAGTAATCTCAAGAAAGGAAATCAAGCTGAAGAATTGTTGAGGTGAATACTACTTGTTGATTTGTAAATATTAGTTAATCAGAATGTTCGACAGTTGAAACTGACACTACACACGACTTATATATGGAGTTCCTTGTGGGTGGACAACTACAATTTTTTTGAAATATTGGCATAACTTATCCTTAATAAGATTAAGCTCCATGCAAAAGTTGGTATTAAAAGACAAATCTGAGGTCTTCATTTCTTGGAGAAGCTCGCTTTTTTTTTAAATCTCGGTATCTGGCCTTATGACCGACTTTTCAAAGAGACCAATCCCACTGTCCACCTAAGGGGGCCCCGTCCACTTGCAAAGCTCTGTATAGACTTGGTTTAACACAGCAATTGTTTGCACCTAATAAGATTTAAATCCGAGATCTTGAGAGGAGCACATTCTTAGAACCTAGTCTTCACCACTAGGCTAGGCCAACCCCGGGGGTTGGAGAAGCTCACGTTTATGATTGTTTTATGATCAACAAATTTTAACAACTAAAATGTTGAGGGACGTGATAACTAGCTACTCCTAGATGAATTACATGAAAATCTAACTACCTGTACCCAAATTGTTCAGTCAATGAGCATATTGCTGATATTCTAATCATGTTTGAACAGTTTTTCAGTGCCTTATGATTTAAGCACGACAGGGAGTAAAGAACAATGGGCAGAAGCTTTTTTAGCTCAAATGCAAGCAAAATGGGAAAGATGTCCAAATGTTTGGAAGTCTCTAAAGATGGAGGTCAGTGAATGTAATCCTCAAGCTATTGTGTTATAGTTGTCCACGGCTTTTAGGCATAACAGAATTTGATTCCCCAAAACTATATAAGGTGCTTCAATATCTGTGACTGTATGTACTCTTAAATAAATGGAAATATTTATGAGAAAACGACTTTCATTTATTGAAAATGTATTATCGCATTTCCCACATGGACCATTTATAAAATGTAGAGTTTTGAACCAAAACAATTCCTCTGGTATGTTTGAGACAGTGTATTGGATGTTATATAAAGCAATTTGGTAAACTTAATAAAAATAGCTACTACAAACATTGGTCAGTAAAAGATAAATTGATCTAAATACACTAAAAAAATAATAAAACAGTGTCTTGACAATGGGCATCAAAACTACTTAAACTTTAGCATAAGTATGGTACGGTTGAAAATGGGTTAGAAAATGCATAGGCAATATTATGCCTCCTTTGGTGAAATAAATTAATTTTCTAATTGAAAAAATAATTGTAAATTAGGCCTATGAAAAATATCCTATTATTTTTCATAAAATTAGTTGTAACTATGCTTCAAATAAAATATTAATTCTAAGTCAATAAAAGAGATCAACATCATGCCAATTTTTAAGCTATAAAACCAGATATCAGAGATATTCATCCAATCAAACAATTAGAATAAATGCCCACAAAATATTAAATTCTTTACGTTTCACAATCGTTGTCGCACACTCGCACTTAATCATTTTAGGCCTTAAACAATTATAATTTATAAAGGAAATAATTAAATAATGGTTTTGCTCAGTTAGCCTATTATTACCAAATTTTGTGTTTAAATTATCATAAATAGAAAGTGGAGAGTGATAAGAGGACCCATAAAATATTTTAGGAGAAACAAAAATTGAGATATGCTTTTTTTGTGCAATTGCATACAAAGTTAACCGGACGGGACGGGTGAAGGAGTTGGATTATTATTTTATTGGTCAAATCACTGACCACTTACTATCTTAATAACAAAATAATTTATTGTTTTAGAACAAAGTTTATTTATGTTTTAATTTAAACTTTTAAAAAAATATATCTTAATTATATATTTTTTTAAATTATTAAATACAAAAAAAACAATTTTCAATGTTCAATAATTATATCAAACCAATAACCTCTTCAGTTTCCGGTTCAGCCGTCCCGGTCAATTCAGTTTTAACCTTCTATTAAAAATGAACGTCAAAGTTCCCTCTAAAAAAAGTTAAATACCTTCAAAACCATAAGGTTCTTTTTGAGACAAATATATTTTATGAGTATGATTCATTACGGAACGGCAGGAGTATATATTTTTAACTTAGACTTATTAAGTTGATAAACAAAGTTAAATAACCTACAGATGAAACTAGAAGAATTCATTCAATTAAATTCCAACCTACAGCCAAGGAAATAAAAATGCACTTTTGGGACTAACTGTTTCTATCTAAGCAACACAAATAAAACCGAACAATGAGACACAGCAAAAGTTAACAGAGACCATAATACAGATTATAAGATGCAGCAACACTCGTGAATCAAATTTTCATTCAACAGCTCATATCAAAATTCAATCAACATTATTTGGCCAAACTCATCATATGATTTTGCCATCGGTCCAGACAAAAAAAAACAACAAAGAAAATTAGAGACAAATTCCCTCTTAAATTGATCAAAAGAGCACCTCCAACAAAAAAAGCTAAACAGGATGGAAAGAAAACCAAATATGCTCAAAGAATCTATGCATTGATCAGTTTCAGTGCATCCTCCTCCTTGGGAAGGGCAGGAATTGCTCCCTTCTTAGTTGTCGTGATTGCTCCACAGGCATTCGCAAACAGAAGCACTTGTCTTAACCTCGCTTCATCCTGCAAATTAGTTCATAAAAATAAATCATCAATAATAAAACCCAAACAGATCTTTGTAATTTCCATTGGAGCAAGTAGCTAAGCACTCACTTCTAGTATGGACTGATCATCAACAATCTTAGACAATAAAGCACCAACAAAAGAATCACCAGCACCAGTTGTATCAACTGTATTCACATGGAAAGCATTAACTGTTCCATGGAAATTCTGCAAAAGTCAAGAAAAACTCATTAGTTCTAACTATTCACCACTCTATAACAACACTACATCATCTTCAACGTCAGTGGTACAAAAATCATACCTTGGTGTAGTATTTTGCCCCATGCTCACCAAGGGTGACAAGCAGCAACTTCAAATTCGGGTGCCACAATGTCAAAGCAGTCTCATCATCAATCTTGTCACTTCCAGTCAAGAACTCCAGCTCATTATCACTAACCTTAATCAAATCAGCCTTTTCCCATATACTCAATATTTGCTTGCGAGCTTCATCCGCCGACGGCCACAACGGTAGTCGGAGGTTGGGATCATAGGAAAGAAGACAGCCAGCTTCTTTGGCAACCTCCAATGCCTTCAAATGCGCTGATCTGCATGGCTCCACAATCAAACTAATGGATCCATAGTGGAAAACTTTCGCCTAACAACAAATTAATATTCATTAGTTTCACTAATCAAAATTTATGCTCATTAATCTTGCATTAGAACTTCTAAAATTTTTAACATAATTTCTGGGTCAAATAGCCTAAATGTATCGATTGGCACGTGGGGCACGTGCGGTGAGAAAAGAGAAATTACTAGTAACACCAACCAACAAATCCACCAACCAAAACAAAAATCAAAATCATAGGATTTAACGTAATTTGAAAGTTTGTATCGAAAATTGCTACATAACGTAAGAGTACTCTCTATGTTAGATCTAACGAAGGGTCCCACCACATGACAAAACAGAAGCTGAAGCGACAATGTTCTTTATCTCAAACCCACGTGTCCTCCCCCGCGCGTGTAACACAATTCGCAAAAACTAAAAATCACTCCTATGAAGTCGTTACAAACAAGACAACACCAAATACTAAAGAAAAACAAAACAAATTCCGTAAGAAAAATGGCTTTAGACAAAACAACGAAAAAAACAAAAGATAGAGAAAGCTACGTACAGATCTGATGAGTTCGAGGTTGAGTTCTTCAGGTTTAAGAAGCATGTCAGCACTCGGATTTCTGTAAAACATAAACTCACGCTCTCCGTCGGCGCGTAGAGTAACGAAAGCCAAAGCGGTTCTCGCGCCTTGATCGAATGTAATACCGTCGGTTTTTACACCGTTTTCCTTCAAGATCCCGGCGAGCATGTGACCGAATTCGTCGTCTCCGAGTTTACCGACGAAGGCGGCTTTGCCGCCGAGTCGGTTCACGGCGATGGCTACGTTAGCTGGTGCACCGCCGGGGGCTTTGAGGAAACCCGGTGCCTCTGCGAGTGATACGCCGGAAACTGTGGGGACGAAGTCGATCAGCATCTCGCCGAAGCTGACGACGAGGCCGGAGCCGGTGGCTGGGAAGACATTGTTTGACGCCATTGGAAATGGAAAGAGAGTAAGTGTTTTGATTTTTCAGAGAATTTTCGGAGAGAGAGTGAAGAATGGGATTTATTGTAATTATATAGAAGGAGTTGGTGGTACAGTAATTAATAATTAAGGTATTTGTTTATCTCTTAATTTAAAAAATTAATAAAATGGATTTTATTCCCACCAAAATAAGGAAAAGATTCAAAGAAAGAATGCATTTTGGATTTTTGGATAAGAAAGGATTTTGATTTTTGGTGACTAGATAAATGATAAAGGATAGTATTATTTATTAACTTAATATGATTGTGAAAAATTATAAGATTTTAATAGTTGTGATTTTTAATTAATTATTATGGTATATTTAACAACTTCTTTTTTCTGGAATGAGATTTTATTATTGATGGAAGAGTCAGATTGGAATATTTTAAGTTGTTGAAATTTGACATTTTGGCGAATTGCCGTCGGTTTTGTTGGGGGCATGGATTTGGACTGTTTTTAACTTTTTTATATTTAAATATTTCTTTTGGTGTTAATTTATATATTTTTATGCTTTTTTATTATTCTTTCCGCTGAGAGTGATTGGTGCCATTTAGATTAGAACTAAATCAAATATAAATTAGTTGCAACTAGGGTGTTTGCTGACTAGGCATGATTTAGAAAGAATGGAAAAAATAATATATATCAAAAATAATGCGGGTAATTTTTATTTATTTTAAGTTAGCAAGAAAACTTAAGTTAAATAAGACGTTACTTAAATCGGAACTTGGACCAATCCACCGATTCATCATAAATGTAAGAGAATTTTTTTTATCTCTATACTTTTTCATAAATTCTTGATAAAAACTCAAAAATTGAACAGAAACATAAATTTAACATTATATATCGTTATAAACAGGTAATTGAGGATGTTACAACATATTAATAATATCTTCGATAAATCTTATATTCTCGCATCCACTTCAATCAGACCCTTTAATGTATAACGATGAAAAATACTTCACATAATCTTTAAATCTTCATTAGTCTTCAATTCAAAGTTTATTTAATTGTATCTTCACTTTGTTGTCAAACGAGAATGAATGATACTCGAGTTTAGCAACTCATTGATTTTCTGGATATAGCAGGAGAGTATTCACTTTGCATATCAAATCAGCGAGAGGCGTGTCCTCGATGACCCTAAATTGAAGTGACGTGTGTGCGCGTGTGTGTGGGTGCGTGTGTACGCGTGTTTGCGTGCGTGCGTGAATATATATATATATATATATATATATATATATATATATATATATATATATATATATATATATATATATATATATATATATATATATATATATATATATATATATATATATATATATATATATATATATATATATATATATATATATATATATATATATATATATATATATATATATATATATATATATATATATATATATATATATATATATATATATATATATATTGTTGATTTTAAAATCACTTAACTAAGTTTATGATTACTCTCTACTTATGAAGTTTTTGTCCATTACATTACATTCATTTTTTATAAAATTAAAACTATAATTTTGAAATATGGATCAACATTAAAACTTATGAATATCTTCATCCTCATTAAGTGGGAGAATCCACGCGCGTATCACCTTAAAGTTTTGGATAATTATGTAGTGTGTCTCACTTGTGTTACTCTTGACCTAATGTTCAATGTTACCTAGTAAAAAACTCCTCCAACACTAAGCAGATTGGGTCGGACTGACCAATTTGACAACTCTATTTTTTTGTAAGTTCTTCCTTTTAGATGGCAGTTAGATTCTTAGAGATAAAATGTTACAGCAAAAGAAATATAATACTTATTTAATTCAAAGTGTTGGTAATTATAATCATGAGATAAGTGTTTTAAATGATTAAGTCCATTCAAAAGACTTCATCGGTAATGTATCCTCATGATTTTGTTGTTGATCTATTGAATCCTTAAAGGTGCTCCCTCTGTATGGAATGAGGTGTTATCGACTCAATTTTGGATTTCTCTAAAAAAAAGTTGGTGTACAATATGGCACATGAGCTTCTCTAATCTCCCAAAAACTCTTTGTGTGTCATAGTTGGTCATAACGACCCTTATCAGCACTTGAACGTGATAGTTAGATATTTCGTTAACTATCTCTTTGTTGTAGAAGTAGAGAGGTGGTATTCTTTTTATGTAGTGCTTCTTTTAGTTGTTTTCTTCCTAGAGTAGATCAATTTGATGAAAATGAATTAACAAGTTTTTTTATATTCTTGTTCTTTATGTTCTTCTTTCTTAATATGGATTTGCTTTCACTCTTAATAAATTATCATATTACTGTATTACTTGAGTCAATTTATTTTAATTATCATCGTTCTTTATCTCACACATAAAAAAAAATTGTGTTTGAAACTCATAACAAAATCATTAAATTTATTAGAGTTTTCACAACACACGATTAAATTATTAATAACTAACCAATTGTTCACAATACTAAAAAATAATATCACATTTTTTATTTCAATTTTTAAATAAATAAAACAATTGGAAATCAAAATATGATAACATTGGTAACTATTATTATTATTATCAATTTATATTGAAGTGCCTCAACAATTTGAAGGATTTTAGTATATGATTAGTTTTTTTACTAATAAGTGAATGATATTTCTCTTAAATTAATAATTAAACTCTTGCTCTTTTGAGAAGCACCATATAAGAAATATACTAATTTTCAATAATTTTGTTAAGAGAAAATATTTAGCATTCGATATAAATTTTCGAGAAAGCTAGACTTGAAGATGAAAGAACTATAATGTGTATCCAAAACAAAGATGAAACGTGATGAAATATTGAAGTGTTGTTTGTGTTTTAATCAAGTGCTAATGTGCATATAGCTTTAGGCACACAAAACATTTTTTAAATGCAAAAAATGAATGATCGTGTGATCACATATCATTTTCGCACGTCATTGAATTGGATGAAATATGGCCTTTTTGGTTTGGTTAGGCTTTCAATTGGGTGATTGATAAAGACTCGTAACTAGTATTTGATTTGCTATAAAGTAGGTCAAATTTCGTTGGCAGAGAGGAACATTAAGAAGAAAATACAATACTCCTAGTAGAAGTTGATATTAGTGAATTAATGAATTAAAAAAAGTAGTGAAAAGGATTCCATGCATTAAAGAATAATGTATACAAGTGAATTTTGTGATATCATATATTGAAGAATGTAAAGAATTTGAATAAGAAGATAAAGATAAACATGTTGATGGTTCTAATGCGTGTAGAGATATTAAGCTTTATAGGAGAATATCAAGGTCAACCTACTCATCTCATATTTAAGCAAAACGTAGCTTTGAATGGATCAAGACAAGACAAATAAAAAGAAGAATATCCGTTGTTGGGGAACCATCTTTACATTATCGGGGGAACTATCTCTACATTGTTTGAGAAGATTGAATATTATATATATATATATATATATATATATATATATATATATATATATATATATATATATATATATATATATATATATATATATATATATATATATATATATATATATATATATATATATATATATATATATATATATATATATATATATATATATATATATATATATATATATATATATATATATTGATCTTACCTGATAAAAAAAAAATCAGCAATCTGTCACGCGTTGTGAGCTTCTGTAATTATCGGTTTTGTGAAGGAGAAGGGGGTGTACTTGCAAGATACTCTGATGGTTAAGTGAGTAACAAAGTTAGAAAGCGCAAGTACATTGAGAATATGTGTAGAAAACAGAATACTTGACCTTCTAGTGAAAGATGGTATTTATAATGTGCCCACAACATATGACCAACGATTACATTGCATCGGGTTGGATTGTCAAGCCCAACACAAGTAACTACCAGACTTATGTGGCGTAGGGAAGACCAACACGTGGTCTTCTCCCTGGTTCAACTGCCCCGTGATCTTCGGAAGGTGGTTGACCAACTCATTCGGAAGTGAGTAGTTTTTTGATGATGTGTCCCTGCGTGGGGGGGGGGGGCACGTGGAGTCCGTGGGGGGAGACGCGTGAGTTCTCCCTGTGCTAGGTAGTGATCTGCCCGACTAAGGGGCAGGTCTCGGCCCAGTCTAGAACATGAGCCCCCCAAGTTGTTGCTCCTAAGTGGAGGAGTAATGACTTAAGAGCAAGTTAGGGTGTCGAAAACCAGTTTAGAGGATGGTGGCTTTCCCAACATACAGAGATGAAGGTTCTACGCGCGACCAGGAGCGACAGATGCTCGATGAGGCAATACGTCGGGGAGGCGGAAAAGCAAATGAACGTGCTTGATCTTCGGGCACGGGGGGAAGCTAAGGGGACGCTCAGGGTGTCCCCTAGTGCCATGTGTCACGCATAATTAATGCCTAGGGCGGCTACTCGTAAGGGCACTTGAGTGCCTAGTGCCGCCTCGCTTCCTGTGCCAGGCTTATAAATAGGGGGAAGCTTTACTCATTTGCATATTTGCTCTTCATATCCACCAGAATTCTCTCCAAGTTCTTCTTGTCGTCGCGCCTTCTCTGTTGCCGTCACCGTTCTTCGTTGTCTAGATCCTCCTCCCACAAGTAAGTTTTCACTTCCCTTATGTAGTGATGAGTTTTTTGGCGACTCTCGTGAGGTTTCTGAGAAAGCTATGAATTTTTCGGCGTGTCTCATGAAGTTTTCGGCGAAAGTATGAAGTTTCCGGCGAGGACGCGGGGAAGTTCATGAGGATTCCGGGATCTTCATGAAGATGTCGATGAATGTCCTAGAGACCTGCATCGCAGGTCTCGGGGAGCTAGGATGAATGTCTCGAGGAACTTTGCTCCTCACAAGTGTGCGGCTATCGCGGGGAGGTTTCACTCAGGGTCTCCCAGCGCGTGTCGGGGTCATCTCGATTGAGGAGCCTCGCTGTCAGGGAGGCTTTCCGCGTAGAGTCGTCATCGGGGTTTCTTCTCGGAAGAGCCTCCGT